TTTATTGTTGTGATCCGTTACCATAGTTACTAGGCTTGGAGGGGGCGATTAGGTCCTAGCATCTCGGGCCTCCACTCAGAGATCGCGACCCCAGCCCCTTGGAACCCTTTGACCCGCCCGCCCCCCAGCCACTGATCCCCTGACCCGATTTCCAGACAGGCAGGGCCCTGGAGACCCCTCCCCATCGCGGGATACGTTGATGGCAATCGGGCCCTAAATTCATAACCGGAGAACTGGGCACACACCCGGCAACTGCTTTAACCCCCAGCCCCCGGGCAAGCTGCACAGACACAGCGAGGGAGGGTCTGACTCCTCAGAGCCCTTAGCCAGAAATCCGCAGTGTGAGAGGAAGCCGCCGGAGTCCATTATAAGCAGCGGGCCATGCAAACAGCAGAGATGTTCCTGTTTAAATCTGTCGTTCCCCGTCCCCAGACTGCTCCCGCACAGACTATCTGCTTTAACCCCCAGCCCCCGGGCAAGCTGCACAGACACAGCGAGGGAGGGTCTGACTCCTCAGAGCCCTTAGCCAGAAATCCGCAGTGTGAGAGGAAGCCGCCGGAGTCCATTATAAGCAGCGGGCCATGCAAACAGCAGAGATGTTCCTGTTTAAATCTGTCGTTCCCCGTCCCCAGACTGCTCCCGCACAGACTATCCGCAGTGACACAAACCTTGTGGCTACTTGTTCACAAACCAGAGCTGCAGAACTTCCCGCGTCCGCCGCACGGGGGCAGCAGAGACGCGCAGAACAGCCCGGCCTGGGGCGCAGGGGAGAAACTACTCTTCAGAATTGAACGCTCTGACGTCATACTCCCCCCCCCGCCCCCCATTGTGACCGGGAAGAAAGATGCGGTTTGTGCGGTGCAGGAACAATCCTGGAAAATGTTTTCAAAACACAAATAAACAAACCTCCTGCCCCCGGTGCCTCACAGGGGGCAAAAAGAACCAGTCACATGAACCTTAAAGGGAAAGGGAGCGAAATGGTTCCCACCCTCACCAAATGAGCAGAACCAAAAGGGGGGAGCAAAGTGTCACGTGGGAGCACGAAGCGTTTCTTCCCGCAGACTGACCCTGGGCACAGACTCAGGGAATTCCCAGCGCCGATGCAGTGAATTCCCGGCGCGCAGGGCTGGATTGTCACAGGAAGGGTCCGACTGCTCCACTCCCTTTCCCGTCAGAACAAGAGCAGCGCCCAGGGCCCCGCGGAGGGCAAGACAAGCAGGGCACTCGCCCCGGGCGCATCACGATCAGGGGCGCAAAGATGCAATAAGTAAAAAGAATACGCTGCAAAAGTAAAGAGCGTGACGGGTACTAACCTTAGGAGAGAGGGCGAAGAATTCTTATTTTGTCCCGGGCACAAAAACACCCAGTTCTGCGCTGAGTATGTAACAGACCAGCACTTTCGAGAGAGTCTGAATAATTCCAGTTATTTCATTGAACAGAAGGATCGGACAGAACCTTTATTTTTAAAAATGCAGGTGAAGAACAAACGACTAACACGGAATTTCACTGGTCCCACCAGACTGACTCTTTCAGTATGGCAGAGGGTTTCTAGTCTTCCGCTTTTCTTCTATCTACCCAGAATGATGGCACAGACTGGGGAACACCATTGTAGCAGCCCGGCTGATTGTTTCTTTCAGCGAGAGCGTCATGGTCTTGTTTCGGAAGCTGTAGATGAAGGGGTTGAGGAAAGGGTACATGATGGTGTTCAGCACAGCCACCCCTTTGTTGAGCTCCAAAGAGGAATTTCCTGAAGGCCGAGCGTACAGAACAATGCAGCTTCCATAGGCAATTGCCAGCGCGGTGAGATGGGAGCCGCAGGTGGCGAAGGCTTTCTGCCGGCTTGTGGCTGTCGGCATTCGCAGAATGGAGCAGAAGATGCTGATGTAGGACAACATTGTCAAGCACAACGATGTCAGCACTAAAGCTGAGATCAAAATGGAGTCCGCGCTCTTGATCCCACGGGTGTCGGTGCAGGAGAGCTGGAAGAGGGGCGCGTTGTCACAGAAGAAAAGGTTGATCACGTTCGGCCCACAGAATCTCAGCTTCGAAATCAGGAGCATCCGTAACCCGATGACTGTGAAACTTCCCACCCATGAACCAAGAACGAGTTGGTAGCAAAGTCTCTGCTTCATGATGGTGGCGTAGTTCAAAGGGCGGCAGATGGCCACATAGCGATCGAAGGACATGACCACGAGGAGGCTGAACTCTGTGATCCCTAATGCGAAATATAAGAAGGACTGAGCCATGCAGCCAAGGAACGAAATGGTTCTGCTGACCGACAGGAAGTTCAGCATCAGCTTAGGGCTGGTGGTTGAGGTGAACCCGATTTCCAAGAAGGACAAATTGGCGATGAAAAAGTACATGGGGGCATGGAGTCGGTGATTCGCCCACACAAGGAAAATGATGACCACGTTCCCCGTTATTGTGGTCAGGTAGATGAGGAGAAGAACCAGGAAGAGAAAAATCTTCATTTTCTCACCAAGACTGGAGAATCCCAGGAGGATGAACTCAGACACGACCGTTTCATTTCTCTCCCCCATGATCAACGTCAACGTTGTCTGGAACGAGCCACAGTGAAAATAAGTGACCGGCATGTTCACAGATTCATACTTTTAAAGCCAGATGAGAAAGTCCCTTGTGATCGTGTATCCCAGGGGTGGGCAAATAACAGCCGGTGGGCTGTATCCAGTCTGCCAGGGTTAGCCCTCGTGGGCCTTCACACCACCGCATATCCCTGTGCCTCTGCAGGTACCAGGGATCGCAGCTCCCATTGGCTGAGGTTCACCATTCCTGGCCAATGGGATCTGTGATCGTCTGCACCTTT